GGGACCTAACCTCCTCTTGGGGGGTCCGGGGGCATGCTCCCCCGGGTAGATTAATTTTTTTAATATTGAAGTTAAAAGCATCAATCTGGTGCACTTTGAGAGCAACATTAACAGATGTTAATAAAATCTGTATACGTTTTTTGGGAGTTTGATTTATTTTAAATTAACACAAATACAACATTTAAAACCTATAATTGCACACTAAAACCATTATTTCAAAAAAGAAGTATTTCACATAAACCTCTGGTTTTTACTGGGGCTGGGGCAGTTCAACTTGATTTGGGGGGGGGGTGCGGCATAGTTTATGGGCGCTGTACGCAATATAGGCGTAGTACTGTTAGTATAAGATAATAAGATGTACTTTGTTGATCCAAAATCGGGAAATTGTGTTGTTAAAAAATAAAAAATATATGTTTTTAATTTCTAACTTTTTTTTTTCTTTAATTTTCGGCTCCCCCCATTGACTGATGCGCCCTTAGCATTCGCCTATACTGCCTATGCCAAGGGCCGGCCCTGCAAGTGTATTCAAACATATCATCACCAGAGTTTTACATAAGGGATGCAATGCAAGTTAACGAGTATAATGTGTGTTTTTTTAAATGTTGAAGGGCTTATTTGAAACTGCAAACAGAAAAAAAGGCGCATTGATCGTTTCAAACTGACTACAAGTCGACTGATATAATACAGAGATGCATTGTTTACGGCCATGTTCCTTTATACACACAGTCTATGTTTGCATCCTCTCCCCTCACCACGATGTCGTACTGCGGCCTGGTGAGGCTGGGCAGCAGGTACACGCAGTCAGCAGGGAAGTCTCCTCTCAGCTTCGTGCGGTCGTTGATCCCGTGAGCCCAGCCCGACGTCATCACCTGATCCCCGCTGTGCTCGTCCAGGATGATCAGATCCCCCTTACAGAAACTCAGGAAGGTGGAGTCCACCGCGCCTACTGAGGGACGAACAAGACATATGAAGACTGTTTACATATACCGTATATATATATTTATATGAAGTCCAGCAGCAAATTCAGAATCGAAATACTTCACTTTTCCTGTGGGCTTTTACTACAAAACACAACATTAATGCACACAATGTACACAACATCTTCTATAATATGTATCTTATTTTATTCCAATTCCATTTAAATCTAAATACTGCTATATTTGACTATATTTTTAAATATTTTGTAATGTTATTATAGTTTTCTTAATATAGTTTTCTATCTATGTTTTACTTTTATGTATGCACGACGACATCAAGTCAAATTCCTCGTACGTGTCAACCTACCTGGTGATAAACCTGATTCTGATTCTGAACCTATACACAGGTTTATTTCCATATATACAGAGGTGTTCTAGTATTAATAAGAGCGTTGCAATGCTTTCAGACACAGTTAAATGGAGCTTTGTGTCTCACCAGGGTTGGGGCAGTCGATCAGTCCCACCACGTACTTAGACCTCCTCCTCAGACCCTCCAGGAAGTCCACCACCAGGTCTCTGATGTCCTCAGCGTTGTTGGAGGTGAACGTGTACTCGTCTCCTTTCACCGTGGCCAACGTGAAGCTCTGGCCCTGCAGCTTTCCCCCTCTGAGAGACGGGATGTCATTTAAATCACAGGCTTTCCTTGATGCAGAACGAGGATGTATAATTAGACATTATTTTCTTCAATCAAAGCTATGATGTGAAATCTTTTCCAGAAACATTGTTTGTTAAAGTTGTGTTTCCTGACAGCTCTTTATTAATGAAATACAAAAGCGAACAGTGGCTATGTTTTGTGTTTGAGTTATTCATCAAATGATTCGTTTACAAGGATCATTTTGGGTTGAGTGGCTTTGGCAGGAGGCCTCAAAATGAATATTAATTTGACACAGAGGATGTTTAATCCCTGGAGCTTTAAGGTCATGGTTTCAAGTTTCAAGGCTTTTATTGTAATTTGCACATTAGCTAAAGTGTGTCAATGAAAACTTGGTGTTACGGTACCTGCTGCTGGACACCGCAGTGATCTCTGGGAAGGAAAGCTCCAGAAGGACCTGCTCCTGCTCGTCCACAAAGTAAACCCCGGTCCAGTTCACCGCCACGATCACATCGTTCTTCGGCAGACTGGGGCCTGAGAGGACAGAATAGAATAGAATATATCTTTATTGACATCATACAAAGTACAACGACATGTCTTTGGCAACTCTCACTGCAGTACAAAATAGACACAATAAATAAATAAGAGTGGTAAAAGCAGAGGTATACAAATAAATGTCAATTTGCATATTTACACCTACAGTAGATTTTCTAAAATAGTAGTGGTTGCAGTTTTTGAGGGGTCGAGTTGTGTGCGTGTGTGTGTGTGTTAGAGATGTCCCAATCCGATCACGTGATCGGGGATCGGAGCCGATCACGTGATTTTCAAAAGATCGGAATCGGGAGAAAAAAATCGGGGATCGGGATTTTTTTTTTTTTAATACTTTTTTTAAAATGTTGTATTCAATGTTACAAAACAAAAATGACCATGTTCAAGTCTTAAAGTCATCCTGAGGCCTTAGTTTTGGTTTCAAATTACACAACATCATGTATGTGTTGCTTCTTTGGGGCTTGTTTTCATAGACCTGGTTGCTTATTTCTCTCAAATCTGGCAACAGAGTGGGCAGGGCGCAGTGTCTAATTGTAGCAGTAAGCTAACGAGTACTGATAAGCTTTATTTTGTTTTGATCCAATGCTGCACAACTGAACTGATCCAATGCTGCTGTGAAAGAAAGAAGCTATATCCATGTTGGATAGAATATCCAATTTAAATAAAAAAATAACCTTAAGGGACAACTTGAATGCTTTTTTTCTTTTTTTTCTCTTAATGCATTGCAT